CACAGAATTCAAGAGAACCAATAATACTTTGCAGCTGTGTAGAGATTCCATGCAAAGATCTCAAAGCACTTCAGAAGCATTAACTAACCAGGCATAAAACCTCTGATTGGTAGTGTTTTACTTGGTGTTCACCTTGGGAAACTAAGGCAAGCACATTCAAGAACCCACAGTAATTTAGTGTCAGGGCTAAGAATTCTACTTCAGCAAGCCTTGGCTCATGCCTATAAATTTTTGGCTTATTTATGACTCCAGTATTTTGTCTTTTATTCATTTGATAGAATATGTGGTTTTATCTTGCTTTCTTTTGCTGAGTGTCAAAGAGATTAGTTTAAATTATACTAGGTAAGGCTAGAAGTCTATTTTTTCTTATTCCTGCTTATTTTTTTCCCTTACCAGCAGCTATTACTCTGCCTCTATCTCATGACAACTTGCCACAAGGACAGTTTCAAATTTAACATTGAAAAGCCTCCTGTGCTTGTTGACATGCACCTACATGTGTGTATAGACTGAATATGTAGTAAGAGGTGTCAGAAGTGTGTTAAAGTGGTAAACCACAGATTGGTAGGAACTATAGTTATAGTATGTACCTATAGCTACAGAATACTAGATTTTTAATCTTTTTTGCAACCCTTAAAGAAATCTAGGTAGATAAAATGCAAGAGGATGTTTATAATTTTTATTAAATGCATTTCATTCTAAGATATACAACGATCTTTTTATTATTTTGTGTACCAGAAGTCATGTAGTATTGTGATCAGTTTTAAAAGGTAGTTTTTTGCCACAAGCAGAATTCTTTCTAAATGTACTTTTAGACCACAAGTTGAACTCTCCTCTCTCTTTCAGCAGATTTATAGCTACTTTTTATTTTCTCACTCCTGGTTAGATTGACCTATGACCAGAATTTCTCAAAAGTTCTCTTTGATGCCTTAGTTCTGTTCAGTCAGACCATTTTATCTCAATTTGTGCTCAAATCCATACAAAAATAAAGGGTAAAACAATAAGCACACATGGAAAAATTAAATTATTGCTGCAATAAAATTATTTTTTATCTTATGATTATAATCACAAAGGCAAGAATATATAACCAAAGGACAATTAATAACTATTTTTTCTGAACTTTTGATAACACTAACTGTTATATTTTCATTTTAAAAATAAGTCCTTAAACACTATTGACTTCCCACCAATACTCAAAATTTAAATACTGCTGGTAAAGGGAGTCAATGGATCAAATTCAGTATATCTGAAGTCACTGAAATAAAGGCCCCTAAGAAAAATGTGTCAATTTTAAAGGTCTTTCCTAACTGAAGACCATTTTGTGATAGAGCCAAAGGTTAATAAAATCAGTAGTGAATGTTGCAATTTTACAGATAAGCTATTCACAACAAGTGTAGTTACTTGAATAAAAAGCTAATTCAGTTCTAAAATGCCACATGCAGTAGTAGTGAATAGCTGCTTTTAGGTGCTTTCTGGAGGAGGATGAAATACAGAATCACAGCACTCTTCTTTTCCAGCATCCCTGGCTGCCTGTAAATTGCTGTGAATGGGACTGTAGGCTGACAGGCTCTATTAAGACAAACTGCCTTTCTCATCGGAGAGATAAAATAAATCAGGTGTTTAGTCAAATTAAAATACTTCAGATGGAGCAGGCCCTGGGGAGCACTGATCCACCTGACAAATCTGAAAGAAACTCAAGACAGATGTGTTTTGGGGATAAGGAAGACCCCATGGAAAAAAAAAAAAGAAAAAAATGCACTCCTGTCTTTGCAGTAAGAGAATAGGATTAGAACAGAGCGCGAGCTGTGATATATAATATTTTATGGAAGCTGGCATATTTATTGTATATTTTTACTGAGCTTTTTGTTTTATCTCTTTTTATGGCAAATACATTTTACAGATAGCTATATTTTTATTATTTATAGATATTTTTAGTCAGCAGAAGAAGTTTATTTACTGGTAATGAGTTTAGGAATCTCCTTGCTTGCTGCAGTAAGTGGATGCAAAACAGATGATGATGGCACACAGCTACTGATGACCTCTCTTGGCCCAGCCAGATCAGCTCAATCTGGTCTGCATTCTGAGCAAGTTGTTTTTTATTGGTATTTAAACTGTAAAATAATGGTTGGGATTTTCCACTCTACAATTAAATTATAACTCCCCCCCACACTGTGTGTACAACAACATTCTGCATCTTAAGCTTTTTCTTGTCTTGAGCAGTGTTTGGTTAGGTGTCTTGCAGCTTCATGGAGGTCTTGTTATTTTCCAGGAGCACAGTGTACATTTTGTGGTCATCAGTTCTATTCTGTTGTTGGATTACATAGCACAGTACAAATTAAAGAGTAGAGTACTTTAAATGGGGTCATTCATTTCAGATGTGTTTCTCTGGGGGGAAAAAGGAAAGAAAAACAATTACTATGAATTCCTGAATAAGAACAGTATTTCTGCCTGCTATTGTATAAAATTCAGAAAAAAAAGAAAAAAGACCTTATAAGTTTGCTGCAACTATATCAAATGGTTCTAACTTAACATGACAAAACAACCAAATTTTGTAGCCTCAGCAGTCACTTTTTGTGGTAGCTTTCTACTCATATTATGAAGCAAGTATACAGAATAATATGGAAATGGAGCAGGAGATTAATATCTGCTTTGGGTGTGTAAAATATTTTATGACTGTAAGATCAGGGCCCTGCATTACAATGCCAAAGCTGCTTGACAGATGTGAAAGTCTCAAGCTGTGGTTTCCCGGGTGGCAGTGCACGGCAGTAAGTATCATTTGAGGCAGCAGGTTGCTTCCCATTGGCTTTCTAAAATAGATGGAGTGGTTGGTCTCTTCTAGTCACAATGGGCAAGGGAGTTTTTCTTTGGCAGAACAGCATTTTATCCGTGAAAAAGAATTTCAGTGTACAATAACATATGCAAAAGCACCTAAGTAACCTTTGATCCATGATGCAAAATCTTCAAGACTGAATAATACAGTTTAAGAGGGTTAAGGTAAGTCTATATTGAAGTTGTAGATAATTGAACTGGTATCAACAGTGTGGAGCTCAATAGAAGCTAATGGATCCTGGCAAGGCGGTACCTTCAGTGCAGTCATTTTTCTGGCCACATACCTGCCTAAGCTTACTTTCAAAAATCTTTTTTTTTTTATTGTTTTAAAACACCTTTTTTGCGCAGAACTCTCTTACTGCTTCAGTTGTACATCTCACGCTAAGGTTTTGCAATGAGTTGGTCTGAATATTAGACCGTCCTTTAGCTTTAACTTTATGCATCCATCATACTTCTTGTGACTAAGAAAATTGCTAACAATTTCTAAAACCTTTATTACAACAGAAGTTATTCATTTTTCTTTGTCCGGAGGCCTGTGTCACATGTATACTGAATTAAGATTTGGCATTACAGGGTACTGAAACACCAGTTTTTTGCAGACTCTTTTAAAACTAAGATAGTTAATAGTGGCTAAGAAATTGGATATTTTCAGTACTGTATGTTGTTAAATGCGGTTAAGAGATGTACAGGAAAAAAGGTACCCTTTGTTTCTGGGAGTTTGCTTTGTTTGGAGTGAATGACTTCAGCCATGCAGTTTCTTTTTCCATTGAAAGCAACTATAGACAGAGATTTTCTTGTATGCTGCTTTTGCAAATAAAATTCTGTTTAATGTTGGTCCCATCATAGCACAATGTAAGTAGTGGAGCATCTTGGGTTTGTGATGTGCTTGGCAGGAGTCTGTTTTGCCTTCCCTCTCCTTATGAAACCTGTCAACCTCTTTCTTCTCTTCCCTAGAAGATATCCATCTTACTCCTGGGAAGAAGGTGGAGTCATAATTTTGGTGACAGTTTCTCCATTCCCTCCCAGGTCCTGTTCCTCACACATTTTCTTCCTCTTCAAAAGTCCCGTGACAGCTTTACCACAGTCCTCTATTGTGAATGGAGGAGAGGAAGGGGGCGAATACCCTCCCTTTTCTGCCACTTCTCATATCATTGTGGCAGATTACAGACTGGACTAATTCTTGATTTGGTTCACATCTTTTCTAAGGCTCAGTTTTCCTCTACAGCATAAAGTTACTTCATTTATCCCACTTCCAACTGTAAACCTCTTTCAGATGCTCTTCCAGTACTCCTGAACTGCTACCTTACTGTACTTATATTACGTCTTATAGACCTGTGGGTCTGAGATACTCACACAAGGAAATGCAGCGTATGGCTCAAATATAGGAGCTGACATTGCTGTTTGTGACAGAGTAATATCTTCATACATAAGCTAAGATATTTTTGGATTGATTTGCAAAAGGACCCTGTACTCTCTATTTAGGAGACCCATGCAATTTGCCCATAAACAGACCATTGAGCATCATTAGTGCAAAGAATAAATGTACCGTAGTTTCATATTAATTAAGTCCTCTCTGTAGAGTAAACTTTGAAAGTTAAATGAAAATTTTTAAGCCATTTTCTCAGGTTAGCCATTTCTCTTAGGGACAAATAGAGCTCATTTTTAGTAGGCATTCCATAACCAAAGTTTACGTTTACCGAGATGACCTACCAGATATATGGGTATTTTAGAGAAATGATCAATAAACTATTAAACTGCTTCCTCCACTGAACAGCATTTTTTTTAGCTTCTTTACATACTTGGGGAAAAAAACAACAAAATATATAAAGTGAAGGAAAATTATGTCTAATCAACTGTGAATGTATTTACCACACTGGGCAGATTTAGATGGAAAAGATATAGGGATTTGTACATTGTGCATCATTAATTAATCCTGTCAGAAAAAAAAGAAATACTCTATATCTTTTCTGCTCCAATTTTTGTTATATCCTCCACTGCTTAGAGCACAGCAAAGCTATGTGCTAGATTCTTTTGGGATCTTTTGTTAATAAAATATATATTCAAGCTGCCACTTGAAATAAGCATGTAGGTGATTCAGCCTTCTTTTTTGGTGAATATTGCTTGGTAACTATTGTCTATCTCATATTTACAGTACATCTTTCCTGCACATTTAGGTACACCAGAAAGCCTGGCAGAAAAAGAGCGACAGCTCTCTACTATGATCACCCAGCTGATCAGCTTACGGGAGCAGCTCCTGGCTGCCCATGATGAACAGAAAAAGCTGGCAGCCTCACAAATTGAAAAACAACGGCAGCAAATGGACCTTGCTCGCCAACAGCAAGAACAGGTGAGGCTCCAAGAAAGAAACCTGTGCAAATGTTTCATGCAGAATGCTTATCATAAACACTGTTCTACTTGGTGTTTCCTTTCATCTTTTTTGTTAAAAGAGCTTAAATATCTTTAGAAATTACATCTTTTTCCAGAAGGAGGAAATATTACAAGACCCTCAGAAAAAAAGTGGGTGTGGACATTCAAATCACTTCTTTCCTAGAATAAATGGCATTTGATAGATTTCACAGTTTGTGCTTCTTACACTGAGATGCAGTTTTGGGAGTTACAAATAAGCCAGACTATAACCATTACTTAACTTTTTCTCTTTTTGAAAAGAAAATAATTGAACAGAAAACCTTAAGCATCCCCAAAACTTCAAATATCTTCTACAAGTAAGGTTTGATTTGTTTGTTTGTGTTATAGGGTTTTTTTTGTTGTTGTTGTTGTTTTTAAGATGCAGTTGTCTAAAGAGCTGTCCTTTTCTCAGTGTACAAAAGTGTAACAACAGTGATCCCATACACTAGTTCCCTAGGCATTAGTCAGACAGATCCAAATTAATGTGTGGTTTTTAGGAATCTGACATTATTACTAGAATTATCTTTTCAGTTAAACGTATTTTATGGAATATATACAGCAATATATGCTCTGTTGATTTTAATGAGTTGTGACGTCTGGTATTTTATGTGCTTGAGTATTTGCCCACATGTAGGAATATGGACTCATCCCCTAATGGAAAATAACATAAAGGAACACTGTAAAAAATCAGAAGTTAGAATGTCATTTAGCCATCCAGAGATGACACAGTAATTAACTATTGACACTTGTGAATAAGCTAGCACAAATTAATCTTGACACATTTGCAGACGAGTGATATCTTACAGTGAACACTTTGTAATTATATTTCAAAATGAAAATTAAATGACACTTAAAACTAGGTTGTCATGCTCAATGAAGCGAGTATGTAGCTCAACGGATAGGCAAATAAAATTCAGAATTTGAGCCACATGGTGCTTGTGTACCCTACTTTACTGTGTCAAGCCTATACATCAAGACTATGCTATGGTAATTGCATTGCGGGGTATTAAATACATTTTCTGTCACAGTACTGTTTCATCTAAGAGGAACCACTGACATTAGATGCTTCATTGTGTATTTCTGGTTTTCATCAAGAAATGCCCATTCAGATGGTACTGTATTGTACATACACGTACAAAAAACTGTTCACAAGCAGTCTGAACTCGGCAGATCAGTGCCTTTGCACATGTACCAAAGATCTCACCCTTGCCTTGGCTATAGCTTACCAGGGTAAGTAGCAGCCAGGTCACCAGCAGCTCCAAACAATTCTGCGCATTGGATACTGTGTATCTGTGAAAAAAGATACAGGACTCAGAAAAAATGACCCATGATGCAGCTCCATGCTGTGTCCAATTTCAATGTGAAATGACAAATAATTACTTTCTGAAGCTGAATATCATGATAATCTGTCTATTACCTTCACTGAGATTTTAGCAGCAGGGACAATGTGGACATAAACCCGACAGAGCTTATCTTTAGTGACAAGCGCTACACTTCTAAGATGGAATAGCGCAATTGGTGCGTTACTCATTAAAAATAGTAACTTAAGAACTCATGTAGGTTTTAAAAGATTATCTGTAACACAATTACCATTAGAGTTGCTTTTCCAAGTGTAGACACTACAGCTGACCACCGATCTGACAATAGATGACCTGAGGTCCTAGGAGCTGCCCGTAGGTCACCTGGGCACACAGGCCGCTAGTTCTGCTTGAACTGCCTTTTTCACTAGCAGACTAGGACCTGCTTCTTCAGTCTTCATTCACCATATTTTCATTGACTTTACTGGGAGATTTATCCAGAAATATTTGAATACCAGTCTCATACAGTGAGCTTGATCCCTGTTACAAGCATCAGTGTAGTGGGCTATGATAGATGCTTGATTCCTTTTCTGTGTGGCACTTAGCCTTGATCCAACCCCAGAATCACATAGACCTCAATTTGTCTCTTTGAGGCCGTATGCAAGACTTCAAATATGTATGGATTTTGTGTTGATCTCCTATACAAAACTGAATTTTAACTGTAGCAGTGAAATAAAAGACAAAGCTATTTCCAGGTGACAAAGTGAGGGATTAAGGAAATGACAGATTTGATCTCTGTGTGTGCACAATTACAAGCTGTTAACATGTAACTGCAGATTCCTTAGGAGTTAATCCGAACAGTTTTCACTAAAACTATGTGATTGTTTACTTCCAAATCAACCTTGCTACATTTCTGTAATTTTTTTATCATAAAAGCATTTTACTTAACTTTCTCTGTTTGTAACAGAGAGAGTAAGCGTGTCGGAAGATGGTGGGGAAGGAGTCCAGGAGGGGTTTTGGCAAAACCAAAACAGCGGACTCGAGTGACCAAGCTACCTTTGTCACCAACTTCTTGCTGGCTTATGTGGTTCCTCTGCTGTAGATAAATATTTATAGGATGGGAAATTATACTTAAGAAATGAAGGTAGCAGAACACTGCTGCGGTTGGGGTTTCCAGGAAACGCAGATCTTGTCCTTGTTTCAGGCTGCTGCACAGTTACCCTTCTAAAGCAGAAGTCCAGTTGTTCCCCCAGCTCCCTGCAGCTTCTTCCCCGTGGCTGCAGTCCCTGTTACCTATTGCAGGGAGCAGCTCTGTGGTCTGAGGGCAGCATCCTATACCCCTTCTGCTCTTGCATGCTGATTTTGGATGGTTTGTGGGAATTGGGGAGAGGGAGTGTCTGGAGCAGATTCTTTCTGGTTAGCCTCAGCGCTCCCTGCCCTGAGCACTTGCTTATCTCCATCTATGTTAAAGAAGGGATATAGTGAACCTTTACCCTGCAGATCCTTTACTGAACCTACCAAATGAGGGTAAGAATATCTACATATTTCATAGGGTTGTGTTGAAGGTGAGTTACTGAGCATTACTCCATTTATGCAGAATGAGACTCTACTTCCTTGAGGAGTTCCAAGAAAGACTTTGAGATTTACAAGAGACGTAATGTGCTGCTCATTGTGAATGAAGGTAGAGAAGCTTGCCCTAGGAGCTTGTGCTGAATAGTGAAACATCTATAAATACTAGCTAAGGCTCCAGTTCAGCAAAGCAGGAAAATGTGTCTTTAACCTTAAGCACCTGAGTAATCCCATCCCCATTCAGCAAAGCACTTAATTTTAAGCATGTGTTTCATTCCCATTGTAGCTAACAGTAATGCATCATAGTCAAAGATCACCACAGGCTTAAATGCTTTGTTGAATAGTGATGAGATTATTCACGTGCACACAGCTAAACCCGTGTTTCTATGCTTTGCAGAATTGAGGCCTAAGTGCTTAAAATACATATTTCTTACTGGCTAACTAGATTTTTATGTTGCATTTAAATTTTAAATGTTTGTCACATACATAGATACCTCTAAACTATCCTTAATTTTTTAAAAAAATAAATGATGCTTAATAAAATATAATAAAGAATAACTAATAAGATGTTTTTCACTCATAATATTGAAGTTTCAATATTACTGTTTTAATTTAATGGAAATTTTATTTCTAATAGATTGCAAGACAACAGCAGCAACTTCTGCAACAGCAGCACAAAATCAATCTACTGCAGCAGCAAATTCAGGTCAGTGTGTTTTATTGCTCTCTTCTGATTATACTTAAATTCCATTTATGGAGAGGGAAGGGTCTAAAATAAAGCAGCCATATGCTTTACTAACAAGCTTCGGTAAAGATGCTTCTTATGGAGGGTCTTTGTGTCTTAGAAAATTATTGTCAAACATATTTTTTGTGGAAAGAGCTTTTCTTTACTAAGCAGAGTTTTCTTAGGAAAGTTAGGAACTCTTTCTTAAATCTTGTCATTTAATCCTGAAATCTGCAATCCGTTTGACTTGTATTGTGTGAAGTAAAAGCACGGTTTCAATCATTGTTTATAGGATTCCTTATTCTACAAAGGCAAAATTGGCTTTATAAGAAATTTAGAAGAATGTTTTCCATTTCATTAACTAAAGCAAACAGCTATAGAATAGGATAATAGACACTGACACAGTACTAAGTCCCTGGGACCAGTCTGCTCATGTACAAAGAACCACAGGTATATGTGTCCAATGTACCTTTGGAGTAACTGTACCTTTGTGGATCTGGGAGGGTTCTGGAGGTATTCAATTATCTGTACTTGTACTCAAAACCTGGTTTAATTTTGCACAAATATATGCCGGTAGGGAATGACATGGACGTAAGAAGCATTGCTGAGTGACTGTATTACCTTCTCTGCTTTCCACTTTGAAAACATTTCCATGGGCCTGTTCTTTGATTTAAGTATTTCTGTTTGGTCTGACAGATGATTGTGCTGCCAGTAATTTCTTACAAGTTTGGACTATCAGGTTTTTTTCCTTAATCAGCTGATTGCCATGTTACTAGATGCCAAAACTGAAGTTTTTCCTTCCCTGATCCCAAAGGAATGCTTGTAAATGCTTTTGCAAATATTGTAATGCTGTTTCAGTTACACTTTAAGGAGTTTAATTAACATATATAAATGTATTGATACCTGGGATGGGAGAGACAATTGAATTTTAAAGCACCATCATTCTCATAGCGTATTGGAGGACTGCATGATCATATTAGGTGTACATAAAGGGTGGAAGAGGAAAAAATACACCAACTTTTCTAAGTGTTATTTGCAAGTCTGGCTTCAGAAAACAAAGCATCCTATAAAAAAGTCTTTTCTTGGCATAAAAACAAAGACTGAAACATAGCCGAGTTTGCTAAACAGAACACTTATTTGCATGAGAAATTTCTGATTTTTTAAACATGTTTATAAATTAGAACACAGAAAGAGGAATCATGACCAGGTAATTTTTGTTCCTATTTGGAGAATGTGGGTATGTTTTATTGGGAAGTATCCTGCTCCATAGTAAAAAGTTTTAAGGTACTTTATGTTTCAGTTCACTCACTACTTTCCAGTAGCTTTACCTTTCCACTGACTCCAGGGAAACACGGTCTTAGAATAGGGTGCAGGTTCATTTTCTTTTCACTCACAATTTCCATCTTGCATAGTGCTGAACCCTCCACAAGTTTTCTTTTCCATCCTTTTAATGTAGATGCAAAGAAGTAGTGTTTTAATGATTGTTCTGTTCATGAGAGCTGAATTATTTCTTGGTGATCTTTCTCTATGGTTGTTTCAAAATTCTTGCCAATTAAGTTCCTCTTATTCCATATTTCCTCAGTAGTTTGGCGTCTTTACCTTATGTTTACATGAATCTAATCAGTGTATTTGAGGCAGTGAGGACTGTTTCCTACCCCAGCTTGTTAGCCAGATTGGTAGTGGGCATCTCATTGCCCAAGCAACATTGTAGACTGCAGTATGAAACACTAGGCATGTTGGGCAGATGCCATCTCAAACATACATTGATCTTAGGAGGAGATTACCGAAAAAAAATTTGTTAGGAGATTGTTTCTTAGGCTAAACACCAGCTTACATAGCTCATTTGCTTGTGAGCTAAGTGGTTGTTCTTTGTTTATTTGTTCTTTCTTAATTCTGTGGCAGGTTTGCTAGCCAGGAGTTGCTTGGGAGAGAAGTTAGTTGCTCCGTCGCTTCTGCAGTTCGCAATAGGTTTGTTGCTATTGAATTGATTGCAAGTGTTAGTTTGTTGAGACCTGTAGCTCCCTGAGGGCTATAGGTGGGATGGAGGCAAACCAGGAGGCAGGCGAGAGATACAGTGCTGTGCCTGTTCTCCCAGGTCCCCTCCCAGCATCTTCCCAGGAAACCTCAGTACCGATATTGAAGTCGTGCTGGTGACTCTGGGTGGAATTTATCATACAAAAAGTAGCTAACTGCAGTGTAGACTCTGTCTCAATTAATTATCCAGATTGTTTTTATAGTGAACAGGGAGAAGCAGAGTGAATAGTTTTAGGATGCAATTCATCTTGTCCTAAAGTAGGCATTTAAAATATGTCAGATGAATTGTTCCCCAAAATGGCTGTTTCTCTCCATTAACTATAAAGGATAGGGAAGCCGATGCCTATAACGTAGAGATCTGAAGTGAGATGAGGTGAATCACCCTCTCCGTGGCTTGAGGGGGAAAAACAATTTTCCAATAAATATTTACATTCTCAGTTTAGTTTTTGGGCTTGGTAAAATTTTGAACTGTGTCCCCAATAACTTACTTAATTTTATTCAGAAGGTGCATTTGTTTAAAGACACTCTTGAGCAACCCCTTCTCAGGAAACAGCGATTACTTATATAAAATGGTATGGATCCTTCTCTGTGCTTTGTATGCATGGAAAAACAATAGTACTCTTCCCTGCCTCTCCCATTTTGAGAAGATTACAAAATACAAGCAGCACAGGTGCCAGTTCCATCTGGGTATGGGCCTATTCATGGCACTGCTGCTTTAAATAAGTACAGTATGTTCTCCAGGATGCAGGAGTGGGGCATTGCTGATGCAACATTTTCATCACATGAGACATACACAGTGTACCACTGTCATCTGCTGAGGTACAGTATCAATTATTAAACAATAATTTCTGTGCGTAAGTGCATCCAGTTTATTTAACCATTTAAACAATTAGAAATTACTTTAGATAAGGCTTACAAGACTTCTGTCAACCACATATAAAAGTGGAAATAATCCATATTAAATAAAACACATCTTTCCCTGGATACCTACTGGGTTAATTTACTGAGCATTTTCATTATTTGGTATTTATTATTTCCATTATGTTGTATATTATTTATTTATTTAATCATTTTCACACCTTATTTAATCTAGTTGTGTGTTTTGTTTTGTTTTGTTTTGTTTTTAAACCATTTACTGGAGCGCCTTACTCCAAACTTGTTATACATCCAAAACTTTGTCAACGATCTATGAGCAAAGAGGACATTAGCTAGGCTTAACATATGGAAACAACATAGGTATTTCAAGAGTACTGATGTCATTAAAGATTCTACATAATTGTCTCATGTTTTTGAAGTGAAGTCAATGTTACTTTCAGGGTGTGCATGTTGGGGAAAGCAGTTTTGTCTGTTGGATAAAAGGAGGAGGAATCTGGAGTTGTTCTCAGTTCTGTCTCTGATTATCTGACATTTGGCAAATTGTTTCCTGTTCCTTGATTCAAATAATCAAGATTATTTTGAGAATCTTAAATGAAAAATTTCAAGTAAATGCAGTGGATTATTACTTTTCAGCTCAAATGTTCATAATGCTCATAAACGCTGTTCTGCAGAGGAGCCCATAGAGATGGGAGGAAATCTAGTATGCCAAATTAAGTTCTTCATTCTGCAAAGGTGTGCAGAGAAATCATTGCTTTTAGTTGAAATAAGGTTTAGAAAATACTGTAGGGCAAGTAAGAGCTCATAGATCAGTCTCTAGGTTGATTCAGATTTTTTAAAAGAACTTTTTCTTTTTTAATAAGAATTATTTAATTTAATAAGAAGTATTCATTCTCAAAGTAAAAGAGACAAAATGAGACTATTTCAAGGACTATCTCTTAGCCTGTGCTGTGAAAGGGAAAACCTCTGGGGATATGGGAAAAAGCTGTTTAAGGGAGGAATCTGGGGGTACCTCATGAAGATAAGACTACACTGGAGAAGGGAAGGCTTGCATCTCTAGAACGGTTCCAACCTTGAGAACCCCCTGAAGCCCTGAAATCACTGTGAATTCAGTGCCTCGTTGCCAGAATTCAGTCCTTTCAGACTGAGGCTTGGGCACTGCCTCTGACTCCACCACGTCCAGCTGAGGAAGCAGTTGGATCCCACTGATGCTTGGAGCATGTTGCTCCAGGATTTCCCTATGTGGTGGGGGGATGCAAGGGATGAAAGTTTGAGGGTTTACCTCCTCTGGTGAGCAGGCTTCATTAGGGCAAGTCCTAAATTGTGACTGAAATCTTTAAAAGGGATACCGGCTGTTGAGCTTTTCCGAAAAACTTGCTATGGCTATTACAGGAAGGGCTGGTCCAAACTGCTTTCGTCCATTTTCCTTCACTTCATTCCTCTGTACCATGCTCAATGCCATTGCAGAGCATTTCTTTTTCTGTTTGAATCGGTATGATTTCCATCACATAGGAAAACTGGCTTCCTCTGCTCTCATAAGTATTCTGTTTTAATTCAGCCACTAGACACTATTCCTAATATTATTTTTTTTTCTAGTTTTAATCTATACATTCATGCTGATGTAGTTTCATATTAATGTTCTTGCATTTTGTTTCAGTCAAAAAGAGTGAACATGATTACTGCGATAGTAAACAAACAAAGGAACAGTAACATAAAAATTACAACTATTTAAACTGTCCTTGAATAGAAATCCTTTGAATCGTGTTTAAAACTTAAGAGGCTGAACCAATGAGTCTCTCTTCTTATCCATGATTAACTACTGACAATTCAGGTACCTGGTGAGCTGAATAAGGACTATCTCTTTATGTGAAGTACATGTCTAAAGATCAGGAATAATTACATTCCACATTAGCCTTCATGGCCTTCCTGCCCTGGTTAATTAATTTTTTGCTAGGATAATAATAGTAGAAATAGATTTAAAGATATGCTTCATCATTAAGTATGTAACTGACCTCCAATTTTAAGAGCCAAACCTTTCATTTATTGCCTTTTGGAGACAGGTTAAAGCTCCTTGC